CCCCCCCCCCCCCTCAAAATTTAAACAATACTCACGTGTGTTTCTCTCATGAATTGTCATCTCCTCTTTAGTTCGAGCTCATGCACCGGCTGCTCGCCGCACTGAGACGAATGATGGAGCCGAAGGAGCCGAAGCGTCGTCCCCTGGTGCGCCGATCGGTACCCACTGGCGTCAGGCGAAAAACAAAGCGTGGCAGGAAGAAAGCTGGGACACCGGGGGTCAAGAAGGACGTCGAGTCGGTGAGCGCGCGAGAGGCGCATCTCAAGTTTTTCGAGAAAGTTTGCAGAGCCAAGAAGGTCGAAGACAGCGGCGACGAGAATGAGGAGGAGGACCAGCTGGGTGCAGCTCACGTCGATGCATAAAAATTGTGAATGTCGATCGATGGTTCATTTAATCTCACTTGTTTATTGCGTACGTAAAGTGTGGGTGTATACAGTATTGCATTTCATACACCTATATTTACGGAGGTTCTTTTGAGACGTTTTTAATAATGCATCATCTGCAGTATGCTCAATGGAGATTTTGCCGGTGTTACCTGAAGAGATCATCTGATACGATGTATATGCCCACTCGATTCCATTTTAAAAAATTGATTCGTTTTTTTATTTTTTGTTTCCTACGAGCTAAAATTATACAAGGTACGTACAATAACGTTTCTGCGTGAACGGTATAACTTTATCGCGATGAAGTACCGTCGTAACTTGGGGAGTAAAAACTTGTATCAAAAAGTATCCAGGGCGATCTGAAAAACTATCGAGCATGAATTTTTCAACTATGTGGGATTCATAATTTTTCAAAGAAATACTTATGAACAACAAAAAACTCATAAAATTTTATTGTATTTCATCTCGGTGTTTTAGAAAATAGCTCGAGAGCCCCATTAAAGAAGTTGAACGATCGCCAATAGCATGTTAAAAAATTATTCTCTTGAAAGGCCATCCGATTAAGAGGCGATATTGAATGAATAACGTTTGTGCAGGTACAAAACCATAAATTTACATTGAAATATAGCTATGTATAATCTAGTACGCTAAGTTTTGCTGATGTGAATTTTCGTAAAAAAAAAAAAAAAACAAAAAAAATAAAATAAAAAATTAAAAGTGTACATAGTCTTGCAGTCTGTGGTGAAACTTACGGAAAATGACCAAAATTCTTTAAACTCACTTTGATATTCCAGTTGTAGAGCAGTTTGTCGATTATGAGGCAACCGCACCCTTGATAATCAAAGACATTTTTGGCCACGATGAGCTCTTTGAGAGAACACATTGATGCCAGATCTTCGATTTCTATTTTTTTAATTGGATTTCCAGTCAAATTTAAGAGAACGACTTCAAATGGGGATCGCAATGGGGGCATCCTTTTCAATTTATTCATGCTCAAGTCCAAATGTTCCAGTGGAGCCGTTTGTGGACTCACAAAAGTACCCCATTTCCTCTTTGGGGAACATGCATCTTTGGAAGCTGCAAGCCCGAAAATAAATACGGCACAGGAAAGCTGAAATGGTTTATTGGAGTCTGTTGTTTTTCATTTTGGGTTCCAAAAAAGAAAAAGTAGAGAATACAATAAACACGCAGTTTTCTGGGCTGTCGAAAAATAGCTTTTCAATGTTTAAAATGCCCTTGAAATGTGGTATTTGGTGCACATACAGTAAGATTGTAATACTTTTCCTCATCAGTGATCACGACTTTTTTTTACGAAAATTTACCTCAGCAAACTAGATTATATCGTATCACTTCTGTACACATTTATGGTTTTTATAGCTGTACAAAAACATTCATAATTTTTTATCACGTTTCGAGTAGATGGCTTTAATTCATAGAAAATAAATGTTCACCATGTGAATGACGATCTTTTGACTTTTTCAATGGGGCACCAATGCAATTTTTTCAAACATCTAAGTACAATGAAATAAAATAAAATTCAGGTATGAGCTGGCTCTTTTACCGTCAAGCTTGAATCAGATGGCGCCAGGGCACGTCGCGGCTGTCATGGCCGTCTCACTCACACAACATTACTTTTCAGTATTGTATGTACATAGGAAAGTAAAGTGTAGTGGTAAAGCGCAATATTTGAAATTTTGAAATGAATAAGGAAGACAAGAAAGAATATTATGGGAGCTTAAAAGTTTCAGAATTGAAAAAGCTTTTAAAAGGGAAAGGAGCAAGAGTCAGTGGAAGAAAAGCAGAACTCGTGGAGGCAAAGTGGTCGAGGCATAAGCCATGACTTGGGAGCGGCAAAAATGTTGGTCTCCCAATTGCTTCGAGCCACTTTTTTTTTATCACACTATCAGAAGGAAATTTAAATTTCACTTTCTTATCGCAGGATATTACACTGCACTTCATTTTTCCTACTATCTTTAAACGTAAATGCAAACAAAAATTGTCTGCAAACAACAGCAATCATTTACAAAGGTTATGTCTTCTGCTTTGCTCAT